AGTCTTGAAGTTGATAATGACACCAAAGAGTATGTTTGGGTCAAATATGTGCTTGCCAGAGCCCAGTTTCTGGAAGTGACTGGTAGTTCCCAAGGTTTATCTCCAGGCAGGATTGCAGGATGTAAAACTCCTGGGATGCCTGAGGTGCTCTCTCTTTGCTGGTTGTGCAACCAAATTGAAGAGAACAGAAGGTGAAGTTCTGATTCACATTTGGATGTCTCCAAGGCACAGGGAGATAGCACTTAACCCCACTATGGACGACAAACCAGAGTTAAGGCCTTGGCCCAAGCTGTGGGACTATTTGGCTGCCGCTCATCCTCTTGGCTGCAGAAACATCATCCAGAACTTTCTCATTTAGTCCCAGTGTTTTCAGACCCAATTTACCTATTGAAAGAGCCACTGTGAAGTCTTGAACTTACGTTGCCTTGCTTTTTAGTTGCACTGACTTGAGTCTGTTGCAGTATAACATTTAACAGAAGGGAGAATTTCTGTTTATCATGTTGTTCAATTCCTCTGAATAAGGAATCTTTTCCCCATTTAGATATGCATAAAATGAACATGACACAAAATTGTTATGAATCCCTAACATTTAAATACATTTACTCTTCAGAGGTCAGCTGTCTCCTACAGTCAAAGAATGTTTTTGGCAGGATTGTGTCTCTAGTACTGGAAGTACTTGAAGGACTGGGTGTGGAGAGATGAAGGAGAGAGCAAATCGGAAGACCCTGGGTTGTTTTGGGGGCTGCCCTTTGCCATTTGGTGGGATTTCACAGGAGCTTTCAGGGCATGGTTGTTTCTGGTGTTGCAGAATCTTAAAGGAGTAGCCTAAACCAGATTAAGTCCACATTTGGACTCACAGCCGACACCCCCACAGAGCTGAGTGTTTCTACTGGGAGGCTCTCCACAGGTCGCCTTAGTCAGGGGAACAACAGGCTCACAAAAATGAGTACCTTTAAAATGAACACCCAACTACCCCCACCCCCATGTCTCACTCTCAACAGTGCCCAGACCTAGTTGCTACCCCAGAGACTTTGTCTTCCCTCTTCCCAAACTTTCCAATCTTTCCTGGCTCTCCCTCAAGCCTAGCCAGGTAAACTTTTTGTTTCTTTCCTCTCCCCTCCATGGCTCAGTGACTTACTGTTCACAGCAACTTAGCCTTACATTTTTCTTTTAAAACTTTTGTTTTCTTTACTACCTAGATCCAGCAGCCCCTCTGGACTGGGGAGTTAGGTGCAAGATAGGCTTTTCTGTTAAGGGAACTGTATGAGCTGATGCTGAAATGACACCCAGCATAGACCTTGGGGACAGGTGGGGACATGTGGATCTGGGATGTGCATACCCTGATATTGCATATTCATTTGTTTACTATCTTTTCCCTCATTAGAGAGCACAGGAACTGGTTATTTTGTTCATTTCTGTATCCGTAACCATAAGAAAAAAGTCTAGCATATACTAAGCACTCAGTAATACTGACTAAATGGGGACATCTGGGTGGCTTAGTTGGTTAAGCATCCAACTCTTGATTGCAGTTCAGGTCATGATCTCATGGTCCATGAGTTCAAGTCCCCAGTTGGGCTTTGCACTGGCAGTACAGAGCTTGCTTGGGATTATCTCTCTCTTTTCTTCTCTTTTATCCTTCCCCCACTCTCTCTCTCTCTGTCAAAATAAACACATATACATTAAAAAATTTTACTGACTGAATGAATTCATTTAGCATCCACTATGTTATAGGTGCTGGAAGAAGATAGGCACTACTACCATGTTGCAGATGGGAAAATGAAGGAGAAAAATGACTTCCTCAGTGCTGTTTAAAATGGGAACAGGTTTCAGATTTCCAGATACCCAGCTTTTGTCTACAATGAAGTGTCTCAGAGTATAAGTACTTTCGACTTCAATTTCCCTGTCCTTCTATAAGGAAAGAGACTACGAAAACACCTTTTTCCAAGCTGGATCTGTTCGTAAGCATTGGTTTCTCTCTGCTTAATTTTGGAAAATGAGAATGGCCCCATGGAATCTAGCAAATGGATGCCCAGAAAAGCAGCACCATCTGACTGTACTGGTTTGCTAGGGCTTCCATAACGGAATATCACAGAGTGGAGTGCTCAAACAACAGAAATGCAATTTCTCACAATTCTGGAGGCCAGAAGGCCTGGAGCAAACTGTTGGCAGGGCTGGCTGCTTCCAAGTCCTTTCTCTTTGGTTTGTGGATGGACTTCCTCTCCCTGTGTCATCACATGGTTGTCCTTTGTGCACATCTGTGTCCTGATCTCCTCTTCTTATAAGGACACCAATCATATTGGAGTAGGACCCAAACTAATGACCTCATTTTACCTTAATTACCTTTTTAAGAACCTTATCTCATAATACAGTCATATTCTGAGGTACTGGGGATAGGACTTCAGTACACAAGTTTTAGGATAGGGACCACAACTCAGCCCATAACACTAATCTTGATTTTACAATATGTAGGGTAATATCCAAGACTTTTTTTTTAAAACCTTACGATGTGGGTATTATAACCATGCAGCAAACTGCAGTCCATTCCCTGTCTCTTGCCATTGGTGCCTGCCTCTTTCTGCTCTTCTCTCTGGCCCCAGAATGAGATCAGCAAGGTGGTCAGAGCAAGTCACACAGGGATCTGGAAATCCAAGAAGGGCATTTTGTACCAAGTAAATAAAAAGAATTATCATCCATCTAAGGTTCATTGTTTAAATTACCATGTTTATTTATGTCAACACAAAATACAATACAACAACTTACAAAAAACCATTTATCTTCATGTAATATAACTCTTCAGTGAACAGAAGTACTACTGTTAATGTTTTGACCTTTTAAGGTCCAGCCTTGGGTCAAAACAGTATTCAGAGAAATAGCAGATTCTTCTCTACCTTCCCCAATATACACACAAATAAAACTCATATTTCCTACAATCCTATTCCAGTAATTATACAAAAATATCACATGTAGAGGTGAATACTACTGTTGTGTCATCACTATTGCAACTTCCTTGTTGCTATAGGTTTTCCCCAGACCCTGGGCTTCAGTCAGGAACCCCCTCTGTTAGGGGGTACATCTGCCCTTCAGGTGTCCAAGGTGATTGTTTAGTAATTCTTTGAGTAAAGCTGTGTATTCCCCAAGTGTCTGATTTACCTGAGTTACTTAGAAACCAGAAAAGAAATGTCTCAAAGTGATCAAGTGTGAATTGAAGAAACTTATCATACAGTACCTGTGCCAATTCAGTGGATAAATTTGAGGTCTCTATTACACAATGAACTATTCACCTAGTAAAAGGTTTCACATTACAATTTACTCAAAGGTAATAAACGCTACACAAAAGTAGAAGACCTCACCTCTACTCTAGTACTCTAGTAATTTAAATGTTATTTTAGTCTCAGTACATTTTCAAACAAATGTTAGTTATCACTTAACTAACAAAAATCTTTCCGTCATTTCATGGACAAAACAGTCTCATACTGCGGAGAGAAGAAATATCTTGGAGCTGGAAAATCTAGGTTCTGGACCAATTCTTGTATTCACTTTCTGAGGCTTAGTTTCCTTATGAATATCAAATAAGAGGACAGTGCTTAGTGAAGCAGTACTAATAGAAAATACTATTCTACAGAGTCCTTTTCTTCAATAAACCTGTAGGTCTCAAATTATCCACATGTATTTTGCAAGTAAAATCTTACTTTTTATTTTTATTTTATTGTTTTCTCATGTTTATTTATTTGAGAGAGAGAGAGTGAGAGAGAGCACAAGCTGGTGAGTGGCAAAGAAAGAGAGGGGGCCGCAGAATCTGAAGCAGGCTCCAGGCTCTGAGCTGTCAGCACAGAGCCTGATGTGGAGCTTGAACTCATAGACCATGAGATCATTACCTGAGCCAAAGTTGGACGTTTAAACAACTGAGCCACCCAGGTGTCCCATAAATCTTACTTTTAAAAGTAAATATATGATGCATATTGGCCATATGCAACTGAAATGTGCAAGTTAGTTTATGTAATTGGAAACAAATACAGATAAAAAGTCTATTACTCATGAGAGACTGTGTACTCTTGATGTGTTTGCTTTAAAGCCACTTAAAATTTTATTCTGTTTAACCCATGTCCCTTTTGCATTATTGGAGCTCTTTTTGAGTAAACTATCTAATCGTTTACAGTAGTTTTTTAACAAGAAATTAAAACTTTCATATAACATTTCTAGGGGTTAAGTGACTATGAAATTAAGTAAAAAGGATTGAGAAATATGGGAGAAGTAATAGTTGGAAAACTTGGGGTCAGGAGGGAAACTGAGTGTAGGAATTTTCCAGATAATTAAAAATAATCTAAATAATAGACTAACTATTTTTGTTTTAACTGGTAACTTTCTAATTTATAAATTACTTCTTCATATGTAAAAAGTTAAATACTTGTTTGTGTACCTGACTTTTAGATACATGCAAATCCACAGAAATTATTAACACTAATTACATTTGAGACATCTTTAGAAGAATTGCATCCTCTCAGTTGAAGTAAAAGTCAGCATCTCATTTTTCATAGATTTTTAAAAGAATCCTTCTTTAGGAAAGGGCAGATTTACTCAAAGTTTAGAATTAATTCACAAGTGTGATTATTTAATGTAAGCATATGGACTTGGTGACTCTGCTGAGACAAAGACTTCAGGTAACTATATTCTTGCAACAAATGAGATTCTAATTTCAAACATTTTTCAAATGCAAATCAGGCCCCCATGTGTCATTTTGATGATTTTTTGAGGCATTAATGCAACAGAGTTAGTATTCCTCAATGATCCCCAAAGTCACGCCTTTGCTAAGGATATTTCTCTTCTTGATTATTTTGAACCTGCCAACACAGTCTCTAACCTTCATACAGACAATGACTGATCTCCAAATGACCTATTATTATCTTAAACCAACCTCATTTTAAAGCCACAAAAAAGAAAAATTAAATAGTGCATTAACATTTCGTATCAGTGAAGCAGACTTTTTTGTGCATGAAGTAGTTCTATCCATCTGTGGACAAGTCCATCTTTTGTTTTTCCCTGTGTTTATATGTTACATTTTTGAAGGTACTGGTGGAGCCTCTATACAGTGGATTGGTTCCCTAAAAAGGAAGAAAGTATGTACATATTATTACATGGTTTTAATATATCTGAATAATTTTATTGTACAGTATAAATTAGAAGAAGAGAGTCAGGCTCAAGGTTGGAAGCCATTTGAATAATTTTGATTAATTTCATATATTCAATATATTCATATATAATTTCATATATTATTTTAGCATTTAAAAAGTTATACCTCTTTATTTAAATTTTTAATATGCAAAACCAGTGCCATATATGTATCATAAAAATCTGACCCTGTTTGGAAACACACTAATTTACGGATAGAAAACCAGACTTTGGCTGTTTTCTTCACTGCTATTTTACTAGAGTTGAAAACAGTGCCTAGCCAACAGCAGGCACTCAGTATTTACTGAATGAATAGAATGAACCATATGGTGGCCCCAAAGTGAAATATAAAGTAAAAATGGGAAAAGTGCACTTGTAGAAGCATACAAAGATGGATGACATAGTATCAGCCTTTAAGAGATGTATTGCTGGTGAGAGGTATCACACAGGGTACAAATAATCTTGCTAAAATGAGATCAAAATTCAGGAGAAACATCTAGCCAGTATTGGGAGAAGCCTAGGACAGTGAACACCTGCTCTGGAGAGTGAAAGAATTAGGTAGCATGTGCTTCCTAGAGAATAGCAGTGTGTGAAGCAGAGAGTCACCAGGACTGATGTGTGGGATACTGGGCTCATGATGGAGTCCAGGTCCCAGCGCAGGTCAGGCAAGATGGCTTTGCCTTTGGGGAAGTGCAGAGGATTTATGCCAATGTCTGGATAATTCAGCTGTGCTCTTTAAGGTGTAGATGTGCTTCTATGTGCCATCACCAGGACCAGAAGGAGCCAGGTTCTGTAAGCGTTTAAAGAAATACCAAGCTTGATCCTCCAATTTCTCTCCATTGGTTGAATTGCTCCAGGCAGGCACCTGTGTAAGGTGCAGTTTCTTATCGCCCACTTTCCAAGGTTTACTGTAATAGACTCTGGGTCTAACGTTCTCTCTTGTCTTAGCAAGAGAGCAGGACGCACCCTGACAGTTGACCACACAGGCTTTGATGTCAGACACCCCAGGTTCAAACCCAGCTCTACCACATGACCTCAGTTAAGCAATTCTGAGTCTTGGTATCCTCGTTTACATGAGGGATTACAATGTGTTTACTTCATCCATAAAGTATACTTTGGCACAGTCCCTGACACATATTCAGTGCTCAATAAATGCCGTGTAATATTAGTTCTTATTTCTACCTCTTCCTCAATTTGGAATTTCATTTTCTTTAGGTTTGGGGGAGGGTTATAAAGATATTTTCCCCTGGAAGCTTTCACATTTAGCATTTCCAACCCCACTTCTGCTTGTGTATGCAGTCTAGGTATCACCTCTGACCTTCCAAATTACTTAATCTTATATTTTGGTCTCTTTATCCTACACATTGTAAAGATGGTAGCAAGTTCTACGTATAGATTTCGAACACAGCTGTATTTGCTTTCCCAGAACATTTCTCTCTGTCAGTTCTCAGAAGAACTGAATAAAATTGAAAAACATTCCTGGGCCTTCCACTTGTTGCCCTTGCATTTGCCAGAGTGTCTTTATTGTGAGGAGGAATCACACCTACACTCACTTCTATGTTGCCCAGAGCCAGTAACCTGACCTCTGACTGAGTAACATGTTACCTTTGTTTATGTGCCTTTAGAAAGAGATGCTATCTCAGTCATGAGCACTAATAGAAAACAGCCTCCTTAAAGGTGGATGATGAATGAAGGCCAAGTCACCATACTCCTCTACTCTTAAAGTCACTCTGGATAATTCTGAGAACCTTCCAGTCATTATTTAGTCCTGCTGCCATAAGAACCTGGAATTTGGAGAGTGAAGGGCCACTAATATAGTGTTAAGTGCAGGTAGAGTCTTGTTTGGAAACAAAGATCATGTATGAATTCTATTAAGTTTTAAAGACTACAACTATTAAGTTTAAGTTGGTTACAGAAAAATAAAGGACTCAATCAAAGAGGAAAAGTGGCAAAATAAGTGCAGGTTAGGGATGCCAAGTCCTGGAGGAAGAGGAAGACTTAGGGAAGAGAAAATATACTCTGAAAGAGTAAGTGGGCTGCAAGTAAGGCCAGCTTAGATCTTCATAGGACCAGGAACTCTTTTGTGAACCTCATCCCATGCCATGTCAAACATATTAAAATGCATCCACATTCCACACTAAGTATAATTTATTGCACTATAAAGGTGACTTAAGTTACAATTAAATGAATACATGATATTATTTAGTAAACATTTAGATGACTATTAATTTTGATTGCAGTTTTCATTCTGTATTTTTAAGCAACTGTATTCAGGGGGTGTCTTACAAACCTAATTGTAGGGCTTGGGCATGATGGCTGAAGCAGACCTCACCATAGCAAGAGTGAAAGGTGGGATTTGAAAGGTGGAGAAGCAGCAAGTACATATTGCTGGGAAGCAGTTGTGTTTCCTGCCCTCAGCTGAAGATCAAGACTCAGGACAATAAGTTCAAAAAAAAGTAAGTTCAGAAAAAAGTACGGCAATGTGTAGTACTGCCTCCTCTAGGCCATGCAGGTGGCAACTTTCCTACAGGTTTCCAGCTAAGATACAGCCTTGGCTCTCCATTTCAGCTGAATCCCTTCACTGTTTAGACAAGGTTGGGTTTTCCCCCAACGATCTGGGGTGACCAGGCTGATTTCCCCAAAAGTCTGGGAGTGCTAATTTAGGCTGAGGATTTTGTAAATGCAGTGGCATATTTCTGGAGTTTGAAAAAGTGGTAATAAGAAAGCTCTTTGTCATGACCCACAGCTCTCTTAATGATTGCCTAACTGCCAAATGCAGACCTGATTTGCTTAGCACAGTACAAAATCAATCCATGACTGCAAGAAATGTCAGACTGAACATTTTTTCCCTCTAGTTAATGACTTGTCATCCTAGAAAAAAATGTCTAATCAAAGATGAATTTAAATATCTTCCCTTTGTGTTTTCATAAAAATATGGATGGGGAGGTTATTTTTAAAAGTATAATAAAAGGTAACCTTTCTTTATGGTTATGATGAAATGTTTCAAGAGGCAAGAAACTAAGCTCTTTCTTGTCTTGAGCTCTGTCACCTTTAGAGTCCAATAGAGGCCTATGGGTCAGGAAATCCAGCCCTCCCCTATGACCAGTCAAGTTCAGTTCTTCAGGAAGAAATGGTTTTTAGATTAAAAATGGAATCAAACTGAGGAACCCAAAATGAATGCACTGAACAACATATTTTTATTTTCAATAGGATATATTAGTGAAATTTGAATTGAATTATTTGAATTAAACCTCTTTTGCATCCAAGTGAATAATTATTACTCAGTTATTATCTAGTCAAGAACATCAAACAGTTGTTATTCAAAGAAACTCAGTTTAACTGGGGAATAATATTTTTCATTTATGATTTTATCTGTTTAATGCATATTTTTGTTCCATTTTACATGAAGAAACAATAAAAATCAGCATTTGAATGTCAGTCATGTTCTTCCTCCTGAGGGAACACAATGCATGTTTTGGGGAAATTAACTGTTAATTAAAATGTTATTTTAAAGATATTAATCATTTGTCAGTACTCATACCTTTGTATGAGAACATTAAAATGTGCTGGTTAGTAGACACACATCACATAATTGCTCAAGTGCTTGTTTGTAGAACACCTGCTTATTATTTTTAGGAGGGTCAAGGCTGTGGTTGGGAGAAAGCTGCAGTTAGGATTTCAGCTCCACCATGGACCAAAACGTTTGGGAAGTCCCTTAACTTCTCTGAGCCTCCGTTCACTTACATTCAAAATGGGATTATTAAGACTGCTTCACAGGACTGGTGTTGTTCAACCAACTACTGCTATTTGGTTGAACAAAAGAAAGAGGAAAAGAAGAGGAAAAAGAAGAGGAAAGCTATATGACAAACCTCTATAGATCCATCACCCAGATTCAACAATGATCAAGATTTTGCCACACCTGCTCCACTATCCCCTTCCCTCTTAATGTGGATTTTTCTTAAAGTTTATTTTGAGAGACAGAGACAGACAGACAGACAGAGAGTCCCAAGCAGACCCCATGCTGTCAGCACAGAGCCTGACAGGGGCCTCAATCCCACAAATTGTGAGATCATGACCTGAACCAAAATCAAGAGCCAGATGCTCAACCGACAGAGCCACCCAGGTGGCCCCACTATCCCCTTCACTCTTTTGGCTAAATTATTTCAAAGCAAACCTAATCTTCATTTCCTTTCATTTCAAAATATGGATATTTTCTAGCAAAGTCATCATCCCATCATCTTACCTAATCAAATTAATCATAATTCCTTGCTATTATTCTAATACCAAGTCTACATTATCCTCCTTCCGGGTGTCCAAGAAATGTATTTTTACAGTTGGACTGTTCAAATCAGGATCAAAACAAGATCCACGTATTGAGTTTGGTTGTTGTGTGTAAAGGTATTTTTAATACGAAGATGAAGTAGCTGAAAATTTTTGTTGTCCACTGTCTTGTGCTGTATCTTAGCATTACTTCAAAATAAGCAACCCTCATCAAGACAAATTTATCCAAAACAGAAATTGCATTTGCTTTAAGAATTGAGGATACCACTATATAATTAAAGGGAAAAAACTGTGTTAACATCAACTTATTTGGGCAGATGAACACAAAACAGCATTGTGTTTGCCTGTATTATCTCCAGTGAAATCACTGTTTTTAGAATCAGCAATGTAAGATAATTGCTATTAGATAGCTGGGCACACCATTAGAAATAGAAAGATGAAATTAAAACCATGAAATTATTCCTATGTCCCTCTAGAAATGTAATTATCTCTCCTGTGGAAAAGAAACACAGAAAATTGGAGTCCTGTTTTCTGTTTGTCTAATGTGAAGAGGAGACACATAAATTATATGCATTGAGTACACATATTTAAAGGTTGACACTTCTTAGGTATTTTTCAGGTAGTTGTTTAAAATTTGTTATTGAGAAGAACTAACTGAATGATATTTTAAAAATCTTCTCAGTTTGGCATTGTAAGCTATTATAAGTAATGAGTATTTCTATAGAAATTGGCATGACCTGTCATATTGCTCATGAACATTATTCTATTGGCTATAACACAACTGATCTATGGAAGTGTTTAAATACAGCCCCTATATCCCATTCACAATTGCACAAAAAACCATAAAATACCTAGGAATAAACCTAACCAATGATACAAGAGATCTGTATGATGAAAACTATAGAAAACTTATGAAGGAAATTGAAGAAGACACAAAGAAATGGAAAAACATTCCATGCTCATGGATAGGAAGAATAAATATAGTTAAGATGTCATTACTACCTAAAGCACTCTACACATTCAATGCAATTCCAATCAAAATTGCACCAGCATACTTCTCAAAACTAGAACAAACTATCCAAAAATTTGTATGGAACCACAAAAGACCCCGAATAGCCAAAGTAATACTGAAAAATAAAACCAAAACGGGAGGTATCACCATCCCAGACTTTAGCCTCTACTACAAAGCTTTCATCATTAAGACAGTATGGTATTGGCACAAAAACAGACACATAGACCAATGGAACAGAATTGAGAACTCAGAAGTGGACCCAAAAGTATACAGCCAACTGATCTTTGACAAAGCAGGAAAGAATATCCAATGGAAAAAGACAGCCTTTTTAACAGATGGTGTTGGGAGAATTGGACAGCAACATGCAGAAGAATGAAACTAGATCATTTTCTCACACCATGCACAAAAATAAACTCAAAATGGATAAAGGACCTGAACGTGAGACAGGAAACTATCAACACCCTAGAGGAGAAAGCAGGAAACAACCTCCTTGACCTCCACCGCAGCAACTTCTTACTTGACATATCCCCAAAAGCAAGGGAATCAAGAGCAAAAATAAATGATTGGGACCTCATCAAGATTAAAAGCTTCTGCACAGCCAAGGAAACAACCCAGAAAATTAATAGGCAACCAACGGAATGGGAAAAGATAGTTGCAAATGACATATCAGATAAAGGGTTAATATCCAGAATCTATAAGGAAATCACCAAACTACACGCCCGAAAAACAAACAACCCAGTGAAGAAATGGGCAGAAGATATGAACAGACACTTCTCCAAAGAGGACATCCAGATGGCCAACAGACACATGAAAGGATGCTCAGCATCCCTCGTCATCGGGGAAATACAAATCAAAACCACACTGAGATACCACCTCACGCCAGTCAGAGTGGCTAAAATGAGCAAATCAGAGAACTCTAGATGCTGGCGAGGATGTGGAGAAACGGGCACCCTCCTCCACTGTTGGTGGGAATGTAAACGGGTACAGCCCCTCTGGAAAACAGTGTGGAGGTTCCTCAGGAAACTAACAATAGAACTCCCTTATGACCCAGGAATAGCACTGCTAGGAATTTACCCAAGGGATACAGAAATGCTGATGCATAGGAGCACATGTACCCCAATGTTCATAGCAGCACTCTCCACAATAGCTAAAACATGGAAAGAGCCTAAGTGTCCATCAACGGACGAATGGATCAAGAAGATGTGGTTTATCTATACTATGGAATACTACATGGCAATGAGAAACAATGAAATCTGGCCATGTGTGGCAACATGGATGGACCCTGAGGGTGTTATGCTGAGCGAAATAAGTCAGGCAGAGAAGGACAAATACCATATGTTTGCACGTATAGGAGGATTAGGAGGAACTTGACGGAGGAACAAGGGGGAGAAGAAGGGTGCAAATGGTGGGGGAAAGGGAGAGAGGCAAACCATGAGAGACTCTTGAATGCTGACAAAAACTGAGGACTGATGGATGTGGGGGGGAGGGGGTGATGGGCATGGAGGAGGACACTCGTGGGGATGAGCACTGAGTGTTATGTGGAAACTAATTTGACAATAAACTATTTGTAAAAAATAAATAAATAAATAAATACAGCACCTATACTTTATTAAGAGGGGCCTGAATGATCCTCCTGGTGGTAATGATTAAATGTATCTCCTTGATGTCCTTAAACTGTATATAAGGAGTTCCATGAAACTCTTCAGAGTGGGGGAAATCCCTACTGCACTGAGAGACAAATGCATGCTATGAGCTCTATCTGGGTTCCAGATAGCTATCTAGGTTCCTTCAAAGCTGTTAGGGACATGGTGAGAGGTTAGGGAAAGAATCAGTGAAATCACTCTCTTTTAGAGCAGAAGAAAGCTGACACCCATTTCTTTCATGAGTCACTTTCTCCCGGAGACAAGGGATAGCCCCCAAGTGTTTACGTACCGTTTGCCACTTGGCCTTAGACCGTTCTGCCTCAAATTTGGCAACTTCTTTACGATCATGAAATGACACCAACAGCTTCCAAATGCACAGTAGGACAACCCCAATGAGAAGAATAGCCAGTGAAACCCCCAACATGATCATGGGAATGTTTGGGGGCTTTGGGCAGTCTGTGGAAACAAAGAAAATTATATTAAGAAGATAGTATAATCTTGTGAGGTAGAGAAAACGTTTCTCATTAAATTTTCCAACTATGCTTTTTCTCCAGTAGAGGGTAAATTGTAACAAGTTTTGTTTTGATGAATTAAAAAAATGAGTTACTTGTTGAAGGATAGCACTATTCCTATGCAGTAGATCAAAAGATAAAGTTTGGTTATTTCAAGCAAACAGATATATACTTGAATTGCTGACTCAAAAAGAGTTAGAATCCAAGAAAGAGGATCAGTACACACAACATATAAAAGACCATGAAAAAGACCATCGTTTAATTACTAAAAATGGTCTCTTCTGGATAGGATAGAGTAGAAATGAAATGTATATGTGTGCACACATTCACACACATATACACACGATACTACATTTTTATGGATTTCCTTGAAACATGAACTGTCTAGGAGATTATATTCAAAATTACATAAAACCCGCTCCCTGAGAAGTTTACTACTTGCTGCTGCCTCTTTTTTTAAAATCAAAGACAATGATGGCTATTAGTTTTATTTTAACACTAATGTAGTGCTCTGGTGTCCTGAAAAGTTCCTGGACTGGGGTCAGGAGAGGTGGGTTCAATACCCATCTGATGTAGCTGTCTGAAATCCATCAAGTCCTTCAATCTCTCTGGGTTCCGGGACCCTCATCCAGCAAACAAAGGTGTAGTTCTTCAATGTTCCCTTAACTTCCCTGAGGATAAGATTGAGCTCAGGTGCTTATGCTTATTAAACCCACAGCTTCCAGGGGGGCGCCTGGGTGACTCAGCCAGCTAAGCTAAGCGTCTGACTTCTGCTTAGGTCATGATCTCTCAGTTGGTGAGTTCCAGCCCTCCGTTGGGCTCTGTGCTAACAGCTTAGAGCCTGGAGCCTACTTCAGATTCTGTGTCTCCCTCTATCTCTCTCTGCCCCTCCCCTGCTCACGCTCTATCTCTGTCTCTCAAAAATAAATAACAATGTTTAAAAATTTAATAAAAAAACAAACCCATTGCCTCCTAGAGCCCTTCCCAGCGATTCTGACTCAGTGCCTCTTAGTGGAGCCACAGATTTCTTTATTACTAGCAGTATCGCAAGTGATTCTTATCACAAGGGAAGTTTGGGAAACTAGACTTTCCGTATAGTTCTTTCAACTTGAACATTTTATGAAATGTTATTTTGACTCTATTGATGATATTAATATAATTTCACAATTACACAGTGCCTTCCCTCATTGACAGCAGAATGACTAATAATTCTTGCAATATGCCTGAGAGATGATACATTTCTTAATGAAACATTATAATTAAGCTCTCCCCTTGCTTTCATGAGGAAAAAAATCTCACATAAAAATTATCATTAAGTATCTCCCTCCCTCTGCCTCAGAAGTGAGGCAAATCTGAGATATCTGGGGGAGGAAATGAATCATGCTTAGTTTATCCTAACTCTTATTGCTTTTAGATATTCAATTAGGAGAGTCATACACACAGAATGGGTGATGCTGCTTTAAAGGTAAGGATCTATAGCTGATCTGAATTTGAGCAGGACTAATGGCCCCACAACAGCATGATGCCTGGCCTCAGACACTGTTGTTCCTTGGGCAAAAAACCAGGTAAGGAGATTTTGCAGAAATAAGTAAAGGAGCTAATGAAATGGCTACTCCAGTATGAAGATCTAATGACTTTCTAGCAGAGCAAATGAACCAGGGCTGCTTCTAAAACGTTAGCAACACTCCTGCAAAGAAACTGGCAGGCATGTGTCAGTAAGAATATGCACTGGCTGTGTCTTTCATGACGAAATGTCTGGGGTGGGACATAGCATGCTCTTGCTGAAAGCAAGATGAAGCTTACTAAGACCCTGTTGCCAGAATGTGAATTAGGAGGGCTCTCCGGTAGAGAATAAATAAAGGAGGAACAGCCATGGCCTGGCAGAGAAAATTTTTTAAGAACTCAGAGTCATTGTACATTTATACATTGAGAATGCATTATACCTTGAGAAATTATACATTTCTCAAGAAAAGATTTCAGCCCATGTATCAGGGCAGGTATTACACAATAGAAATCCCCACTGTTTATACTCTCATTATTTCCTGAAACGCTCAGACTAAAGACATATTTCTATGTGGGAGAAGAGGGCCATCTCCACCACAGTGTGCAGTGTTGCCTGTCGAGTCCTGGCCACTGCCACCTAATTCTAAGGTCCTGGGTTCCCAGTACTGCCAATCTTTTAGCTCTGTCACATGCAGCTAACTGAACATGGAAACGTGACTTTTCTGAATTAGGTGGTGTGGTAAGTACAAAATACACACTGATTGTGAAGACTTAGTATGGAAAAAATGAACCATCTCAATAATTATTGTATTGATTACATGCTAAATGACAATATTCCGGATAGACCAGATTAAATTAAACATGACTAAAATTCATTGCACCAGATTTTGACTTTTTAGTGAGGTTACTAGAAAATTTTAAGTTACATACTTCTGTTGGTGTTGATCTAACATATTTTTGGGAGCCAAGTATTTATTATGATCATACAGCCAGTGGGAGGCAGTATAGCACAGTAGTTAGGAGCCTGGGCTCTTGGCCAGACTGCCAGAATTCCCTAACCAGCGCTGGTACTTAATTGCTGCAAGACCTAACACACCTTTTAACTTTTTCTGCTTCAATTTCCTTATCTGTAAAATGGAAATAATAGCAATACTTGCTTTATATGGTTGTTACATTGAGGGGGCTAAAAGAATTAATGCACGTAAAGCATATAGAACAATACCTGGCAAAAGGCATTAGTAAAGGCTCAATAAATGACAGCTGCTATTTTTATTCTTATTCTTATTCTTTTATTCTTATTCTTATTCCTATTCCTATTCCTACAAATACAGTCTTCTTCCTCTTCTATTCTCAAGACTTCAAGGACCTGGACCATCCATGTTGGAAACTGTGGGTATAACATTCACATCCGCATCCCTGCCAGGAAGGCTCCCAAATGTCATTTTTTAAAATTTAATGTTTATTTATTTTTTTGAAGGAGAGAGACAGAGCATGAGCAGGCCAGGGGGAGAGAGAGAGGGAAACACAGAATCCGAAGCAGGCTCCAGACTCTGAGCTGTCAGCACAGAACCTGACACGGCGCTCAAACTCACAAATTGTGAGATCATGACCTGAGCCGAAGTTGGATGCTTAACTGACTGAGCCACCCAGACGCCCCCAGCCCCCCAATGTCATTTCTTGACTGTGGCTTTTATAAATGTGGCTTTTATACTCTGAAAGTTCTTCCAGATGTAAGAAAAATGAGCAAAGCTCTCCCTACATCCACACACACTGATGGTGACTGTTCACTTGGTTTCTTTTAAACCTTGTTTGTAGGACTGTCGAAATCCTTAGACTCCACTTCCTCCTTCTATCCTTGCCTCTGATCTATGGCCATGGGATTCTCTGGTCTTACAGTTGTGAGAAGAGCCTGCAGATTCCCGGACAGGCTCTGCTCTTAGGGCCTCTGTAAGTTTAGGGCCTACCCAGGAACAGGAATATTTTCCAGGGAGAAGCATCTTTGGAACTGTCAGGTGACTTCTGTTAAGCCTCAAGGAGGTAATTTTCCCCTCACTTTTCCCTACTACAAAAGCATAGGGAGAATAAAAAGCCTTAATAAAAAGTCATCAGGGAGTCTGAGTACTTTCAGAAGGACGGCATGTTTATGTGCCACTCGGATTGTGTGGAAGCACACACAAAAAAAAAAACCCCAACAGTTTGGTAATGAGGAGACATTTGTCAGCCAAAGGCATGTTCTCCTCTCTCTCTCTCCTCCCCAGCCCCCCTCCCCCCCCACATACTCAAAATAAAACTCAAACCTACAGATACAAAAGCCCCTGAATTAAAAACAATTCTGGAAGTTCATTTTTGTTGTTTGAAACTAGTTTTTCCAATGGAATCAATATTATATTTCAGGAGAACTTGCTAAAGCCACTGCCATGGTTACAAATAGAGGATTGGGGGTATAGTTCAAAAATCTGGCTTTATAAAACACATAATGAGGAGGCAAGTTTTTTGTACTATTCTTCCTTGTGGAGCAGAATTCACCTTAAATTTCCTTAACTAATGGCCTCTGCAAAGCATTTTATATATGCATTTCAAAGAGGTTGATTCATATGAGATTTTCAAGAGCAAGTCTCCAGGTGCACTCTGCCCACCTGAGCTTCAAGGCCAAGGTCACAATCTTGATACAAGATGTGTGATACCCTTGTATCTTGTATTGTGTTGACTTCTACCTCCCATTGACCTTCAACACTATACTGTGATATTTTTCTAATCATGTTTTCTTGGTTGGTTTATAGTTTCTTGAAATTACTTTTTGGTTACTTTGGTATTGCTTTGGCTTTTACACACTTTAGTGATGGCAGTTTGATATTCTTGGTTTCAAATTTGGGACTTAATATTTTGTCAACACAATGATAAGCAAGTGCACACAACAAAATACATCTGCCTGCTAGCCTGTCCTTAGCTGTTGTTTGGGGCAGAACTTAGGCTCCAAGCTTTTGAGGGGAGAAGGAGGAGGTTGCTGACAAGAGCTGGAGAGATCTGATTTAATGCAGCTGTCATTTCTGCCAGAAAGATTTAGGAACACATCATTAATTGAAGACAGAAAAGGTGAGGCACTTGTGAATATCTAAGAATGCAACCAGGGAGGTTTTGAAGCCATCTGTAGCAGAGTAGTGTTAAAATGCAGAGTTCGGGGCCACACATCACACATGCAGACTCAGAATGCAGGCATTTTAGCAAGCTCCTCAGGTGAGTCTGATACTAAAATTTAAAACTTCTCAACAAAAGTATCTTTTCCAGTATTTTCTATTTAATATAAACTTCTCTGTGTGATTTTTGAGATTTTTACTTGAGAGCTTCCCAAGTCCTGAGCAAACTCCATGAGTTGGTATGTTGAAAATCTAAGAAGCTATGGACCCTGACTTTCTTTGGGGCTCACTTCCTTCTTCACTTCCTCTTTCATGTCTTTTCTGACTCAATGACCCATTATTGTAGGTTATGAATTGGTACATGTTTTATATGCATTATTCCATTTAATCTTTGAGTCAACCCTTAGAAGAAGGTACTATTAGGGGCGCCTGGGTGGCTTAGTCGGTTAAGCGTCCGACTTTCGCTTAGGTCATGATCTCGCGGTTCGTGGGTTCGAGCCCCGCGTCGGGCTCTGTGCTGACTGCCAGCTCTGAGCCTGGAGCCTGTTTCAGAGTCTGTCACTCCCTCTCTCTCTGACCCTCCCCTGCTCACGCTGTCTCTCTCTCTCTCCTAGAAATAAATAAAAAACATTTAAAAAAAAAAAAAAAAAAAAAAAAGAAGAAGGTACTATTATTATTCCCATTTTACAGATGAAGAGAAACTCAGAGGCAAGTATCTTCCAGAATGTCAAGCAGCTATTAAGTGGTAGAGCAGGATTTGAGCCAAGATTTGCCTGATGAAAATCTCATCCTTTTAGACTATTATGCTTCTCCCTGTTGGCCTTTCTTAAAGATATATCTTTTGCTTACATTGCATTTAATCAGTCCATCTTTCTACAAACCATCAGCCAGCTTTTGGGGAGATGATGATTGGTACAAATATACTCCTCTTGTTTTGTAGTCTAAGTAACAGACATTGGAACATATCAAACCTTTCAACAAGTATATTTCAATCCCTGGGAAAGTAGAAGCACTCCATCAAAATTCTGGAAATGTCTTTCCTGGAAAGCTACCCAAAGTGGTTGTTTCTTCCTCTCCCACATAGTATCACTTACCATTGACAATGGAAGGTATGCCACCCACCTCTCTCATTGATGCTGTGAATGATGGTTTTCCCTTCATTATCTGTAGTTATTAGGAATGTAATAAGACATTCATTTTCTCCTTGCAGAGAACAGGGAACAGAACTATCCTTTGAAAAATCTGCAGATAAAGGAGTCATTCATTAGATTAAATGAGATTCCAAAAGAGATTATTTTTAAAGCAAAGTGGTATTGAGTTTTAATATGCAAATAGGAATTTTCAACATTGCGGAATAGGAATAAAAAGACATAGGATTTTTACCACCACTGAGGTTTTAGTTTCTATTCATGTTCCAGAAGAGTTCCAGGTGTGGTCAATCAGGACTGACCATCAAATGCACTTGTCAAACTGATGGGGAAAGGATTTCAATAGACTGAAAGTACTTGAAGGCAGCCTACTTGTCTTGGGATAGAATGGCCTTGATTGTGGCAATGAGAGGGCTGTATGTTCCTCTTGGCTGTGAGCATCTGGGAGGAAGCCTAGATTACATTTCAGAAAAAGACTGCACAGCCCAAACTGATACTGATACTTCTAAAGGGGCCTTTCCCACAGTCAAGTTGATGGTCATGTATTGTCACAACAGTAAATATAAATTAATGTCAGGAAATGGACATTGAAGTGTTATATGCTCAGGGACCAGTAGGAGGAGAGTAAACCCCAGATTAAAAGGGACACAGTTGAGCTTGCCTACTATTCAGTATAGCCCATTTGTTAGTTAAAAAAAACAAACATAATCCATTTTTGTTCAAATCTTTTTCAAATAGAATTTTATTGAGCTTATTCAAGAGGCAGAAAATGAATTCCATTATAGAAACTGAAAATATAGTAAAATGGTCAATCCACAATGTTAGTACCATTTATCAGAAGTTTTAGAGGTTTGGCACCTATGCCAAAATTATGTAGCATTTTCCAAATTAAAAAAAAATCTTGCTTAAAATTCCCCTATCTTCTAAGTTGGATTGCAATGATATTGTTTTTTGATACAAATGATATAAAAACTTTTTTCAGAAATCTGTAAATGGAACAACTGTTTGCTTTTAACCTAAAATTTTGACATATGATCCAAAATTAGTATATGACACATTGAGTCAGAATATTGGGGACATTCCAAGATAACCGTAGATATACTCTTGCTAGACCTATAATTTTTCTCATTACCTTAAAAATAAGTTTTAATAAAACAGAATCTATATGTGTTCCTCATATTCTAACAAAGTAAATAATACGCTATTTTTTGTTCAACAATGCTGTAGCCACAGAAAGGAAGATATTAAGTTGGTTTAGCATTTGATTTATAAGATAAAATCCTCATGTCAGGGTCTATAAGAAGAATGTCTGTATTATCTATGAAAAAAAGGAATGAGTAAAACATTTAGCATTATTAATAGGATTTCAGATGATAAATTTAAGTGGAAAAAAATTGCTTTTGAATCCATTAGAAGCATCTATTTACATAAGAATATCAAGAAATCTAATTATAAATCATTCTCATCTGGGTCATTCCAATGTTTATGATCTTGTAAATCACCTGAGAGTTTTTAAAATAAGGATTCCAGAGACCCATCCTGGCTATCTGATTCCAGACGTTGGTGGTATGCACAGGAGGGTGTAGTTTAGTGAGTTGTTTAACAATATTTTTTAAAAAGGTGATCTGATTTAGATCTTCGAGAACCTCCAGGCAACAGTGGATTTTTTTGTTGTTTGTGTAATTTTGTGTGTTATTGGATGCAATAGCCCTGCATGTATAATTCATACTTTGGTCACTTTTAGATGGCCTTTACCACATGTCCTCCTGCCAGACCACTCCAATTAACTAGAATTCATGAAGTCTTGGAGAATATGCTTTTTCAAGGTGGAGAATGCATTTTTTTTCTCCCTCTCTCCCTCTCTGCCATGACAGTGCACACCCACTGTGTTCCTCCCAAGCTTACTTAATGGAACATTTTATTCTCAGGTAGAAAATATGTGGATAGCTTATAATACTCTTTTCAGTAATATTAATCCTGCTTTTTTATTTTCTTTTAAAGAGCTACACTGAAGCACAGGGAGGCTTAATTTACTTCACCAGGATTATTTAAGTTTTAATGGAACTGTTAATATGACCTTTGCGTCATGACTCCCTTCTTGTTTTAATTACTTCACCACTCCTTTTCATGACTGTTATGACTCTAGATTTAGCCAGTTTTGTAGTGTTTGGGTATTAAAATGGTATTATTGAATGTGCAATGAAAGGGTCCAGCTTGGGCTAGAGATTTGCATAATTAGCTGCTAAGGTTTTCTTTTGTTGTTCATTAAGAAATGGACCTTTCTTTTTGACTCTCCTTTATGAGTGCCAGCAGTGCTGCTCTAGAATAATACAGTGATATAAAGTCTTGGGGAGTCCATGAAATTATACTTAGAAAAGAAAGAAATGTGAGAATGGGGGTGAGGAGGCCAGCGTCCAGGAAGGTCCAGGAAGGATATAGAAATATAAACCATCTGCACCACTGAATTAAGACAACTATGTGTTAAGGACCTGTGCTCTGGGGCTGAGTCAGTAGTTCTCAGAGAAACAGTTTCCCAAGGAAAAAGAAAAGGGTTCTGTGGCCAAACAAGTTTGGGAATCCTTCCTTACTCCAATTCTTTCTTTTGCATCTCCTGAAAATTCACAATGCATATTTAATGCAATATGCCTAATTTCTCAGGAGTCTTGGAAAATAAGCAAAAAGCTTAGCTCCCCATTTCCAAAATTTATATGACCATGGATGCGATTTTCCACTTAACACTTTCAGAATTAGTGTTCCCATGGAACACACTTTGAGTAACAATGCTCTGAGTACATGAATGTTGGAGTAGATTACAAAGTATCTTTCAGTAAAATGGAATGAGTAAAGTTAGGCCACATGTCTTTAAAATGCTCACATGGCACACCTGAGGAACAATTTATTTGGATTATAAATTATGCTCTTCTACTTTACTCTCCATATCCTTGTCGGGGTAGGTGGGGCTGAGAGAAGATCCTATGTGAGAGCAAATAGATGGGGATAATTTCAAGGTGATGTGATCAATGACATAACTGTTTGAGTAACTTAAAATAGAACTTATAAAAGTCTCATTAGAAAAGTGACTTTTGGGGGTGTCTGGGTGGCTCAGTTGGTTAACCTTTCAGCTTTGGCTCAGGTCATGATCTCGCGGTTTGTGGGTTGGAGCCCCACATCGGGCTCTGTGCTGATAGCTCAGAGCATGGAGCCTGTCTTTGGATTCTGTGTCTCCCTCTCTTTCTGTCCCATTCCTGCTCATGCTATTTCTCTCCCTCTCAAGAATAAATAAACATAAAAAATTTTTTTTAAAAAGTGACTTTTTAATTATTTTTGTTTTTTATTTTAGAGAGTCCACAAGCAGGGGAGGGGTAAAGAGTGAGAGGGGGAGAGGGAGAGGGAGAAAGAGAGAGAGAGAGAGAGAGAGAGAGAGACATAAGCAGGCTCCATACTGAGTGTGAAACTTGACATAGGGGCTTGATCCCACAACCCTGGGATCTAGAGTTGGATGCTCAACCCATTGAGCCACCCAGGCATCCCAGAAAAGTAACTTTTTAATTCACAGGCTGACAAATATGTTTTTCTCTCAAATTCAACAAGGTTAGTGCCTTAAATGGTATTAGAAATCCAGTTAATATTTTCAGTTTCTGAGTTACAAATAATTGTAGTCCCCTATTTTGAAGATAATCTATCCAATTACACAAAAAGAATAATGCAAATATTTTGAATGCCACTTGAGACCCAGTGTTCCTCTCAAATCCAAGTATTTATGATAATCTACTTGAAAACTGTATATTTAAATATAGTAACTCTGTACATGACTTACATGTTTCCAAGGTTTATTCCCTTTTTCCCCTTGGCATATTAGATTCCCCATGTTGCTGGTGAATGGTGTTCTAGTAATTTATAAGACTTTTTTTTTCTGCAATTTTTAGCCATTTCTTAGAAACACTTGGTAAATATCTCCACTGTTGGCTGTGAAATGAAGCCTTAGGATATGCTGTGCCTATGAACCAGTTACTAATGTGGACAGTCCACAAATGCTACTTTCCTCAGTGCTTTTACTGCATCTTGCTTTCAGTATTAGCATAAGGTACATACCATCTGGTCCAATTTATGGCTATTTGGCATATTTATCTTTAGTCACCAGAAAAGCACAAAAGAGGAGTTTTATGAGCACTAATCTTGCTCCTCTGTGCAGGCTTATTCAACTGTGCACAGTCAGAAATCTCAATTTTAAAACAATATAGATAATTTTCAAAACAATAAATGCCACTAACTTATTCCACTTTGGACATGGATTAATTTCTCTATTCTATTTCTGTTTCTTCAAGATACATATCCTAGAGTGTCGTAAATTGTCTTGATTATTGCACTTCACCTGAGATACATCTTGGTCATGGCTCTCATGTGTGTAGGCAGTGGTTCAGCCTGAGCAGTATTCGAATGCAGAGAGTTTGGGGTGATGGAAAAATGAATCCCCCTAGACTGAATGAATCCTCCTCCTTTAGGAGGAGCCAGTCATCTTTACAATTATTTTTTAATTTTGCTTATTATTTATTTATTAATTTTTAAGTGTCTATTTGTTTTTGAGAGAGAGAAACAGACCAGAGTGCAAGCAGGGAAGGGGCAGAGAGAGAGAGTGAGACATAGAAACCAAAGCAGGCTCCAGGCTTTGAACTGAAGGCACAGAACCCAACATGGGGCTTGAACCCACGAACTGTGAGATCATGACCTGAGCTGAAGTTGGATGCTCCATCGACTGAGTCACCCAGGCACCCCACAAATTATTTGTTTAAATGGCCTTCCTAGCTAAAATACAATCTACTTAAATGTTTGAGATGACATTTTGCTATTAAAAATAATCTTATTTTAAGTAATTAAATTGTAAAATGACAGGTGAAAGCAAGAGCAGAATTTGCTTAGCAGTTAAAGGTAACAGGCCCTTCTTATTTTGGAGAAGTGAGACAACAAGGATTTAAGGGTGGCCTTGTAACACCTATGCTCCGAAACCACATAGAAGTGGTGGAGGAAAAATGGCTACTAACCAGAAATGCTTGATGACTGAGACTTGCTCCCAGGAAACCCTTATTATACTTCACCTTCTCCCATTTTCAAATAGGGCAATCCAATGATAGAGGATGATTTCAGGTTTAGAGATTAACATTTAGCTATTTTTAAAATTTTCTTTTCTAATTAAAAATTAACATTCTGGAATTCTCTGCAATTGTTTTTTGTTAAGCAGAGGTGAACTTGCCAACAGAACCACAGCCAAATAGAATAGCTATGACTTTACATTGCTTGTATCCCAAACCATCATGTTTTTAGACTCATGGAATGTGTTTACTCTTATAAACTAATGTTGCTGGGGCACCTGGGTGGCTCAGTCAGTTAAGCATCTTACTCGGTTTCAGCTCACGTCATGATCTCACAGTTCATGGGTTCCATCCCCGCATCAGGCTCTATGCTGACAGTGGAGAGCCTTCTTGGGATTCTCTTTCTCCCTCTCTCTGCCCCTTTCACTGTTTCTCAAAAAATAAATAAATAAAACAACAACAACAAAATTAATGTTGAACTAATGCCCTGGTTCAAATGAGGTCGAGTTACTAAAAAGCCCTTCACGGTGTTTCTGTCTCTCAAGACCTATGTAAAGACAAAGAAAGTAATTGAAGACAAATATAACCTTCTGCTTCATTGACGGTCGCACCAACTAGTTTGCATTTTTCAACGCATTCTTCTCGGGCCTGGCCATCGGCAGACAGGTGGCATTCAATGCAGCTCCTGTGAACATTATTCAGTAGAGTTTATCAGTTCATGTTGTTGGAAAACATATGCAGCTGGGTTATTGCTTTAATGCTTTAATGCTGTTACTGTGGTTCGTGCTCTAGGAATGTCTCATAGAGGATGTTGCTTTTGTTATTTTCAGAAAGATATTTGAGTGATGTTCAAGAGGAAACTGCTTTATTCTGATTCCACTTAGTAATCAGTGTTTCACGAGCCAGCCTTGACAGTAGCTGTTATCCTCATCTGTCTCTAATTGCCTTTGATTGGTTAAGTAACAAACAAAAAAACCCCAGTAATAAGACAAACTTATTTTGGTGTTTGATTTAGGGTTTTTTTTTGTTGTTGTTCATTTTACATTTTCCTGGAAAAGGTTTACGCTGCTAAAATATGATTCATGACTATACAAAGTTTGAATTTCTTAACAGAAATCATCTGTTTTAAGAATTCTAAGAATTCATACATATCATGAAAGGCTATTTCAAAGATTCATTTGTCTGTAACTATTTTGAATGAGTCTAAGCCTCACAGGGGTATTTTTAAATGCTGAGGTTACAGCTTGGATCCTCATTAACATGGGCTTTTTAGTAAATGAACTCTACTTACAGAAAAGTATATTTCTAAGAACAGTCCAGGAATTAAGCTTCTCTAATGATATCTATGCAGCAGAGTAAAACTTAGACTTTGAATTAATCTTATGCTACAAATCACTTTATAACCAGATTCTGTTTGGAGTACAATACAGCAAAGTTTTCTTTTCTTTTCTTTTTTAATAGTTTATTGTCCATTTGGTTTCCATGTAATACCCAGTGCTCAACCTAGGTGCTCTCCTCTATGCCCATCACCCGCCTTCCCCTCTCCCCCACCCCCATTAGCCCTCAGTTTGTTCTCAGCATTCAAGAGTCTCTCATGGTTTGCCTCCCTCCCTCTCCCCAACTATTTTTCTCCTTCTCCTCCCCCATGGTCCTCTGTTAAGTTCCTCCTAATCCACCTATATGTGCAAACATATGGTAGCTGTCCTTCTCTGCCTGACTTATTTTGCTCAGGCTAAAACCCTCAAGTTCCATCCATGTTGCTACACATGGCCAGATTTCATTCTTTCTCATTGCCATGTAGTATTCCATTGTATAGATAAACCACATCTTCTTAATCCATTTGTCCATTGATGGACACTTAGGCTCTTTCCATGTTTTGGCTATTGTTGAAAGTGCTGCTATGAACATTGGGGTACATGTGCCCCTATGCATCAGCACTCCTGTATCCCTTGGGTAAATTCCTAGCAGTGCTATTGCCGGGTCATAGGGGAGATCTATTGTTAATTTTTCAAATAAGCAAAGTTTTCTTACTGTGGGCACACATCACCCTACCTCTCTCTTCCCCAGGCCATGCAAATCCATGCTCTTCTAAGTGCTGGAAACATTCTCCACTGCATCAGGCTTCCCTCAATGCCAGCTGAAACTGCATTGCCCTAGGCAAGCCTTCCCTGACTCCTACCAGTTCCTTCTCTTAAAGTGGAAAACTCTGAATTCCTTTGTAGGAAGGGCTAAGAAGCAGCAGTTTACGTGGGAGTGGGGGAAAGAAGTCTTGTCTGGAAATTGCCTTTGCATTACAAGTATATTTCATTTATCTAGGTTATATTATTTAGAGGAGCTTTGTAGGGGGCTGCTGGACATTGTGGAAACCCTTACACCCTCTACACTTTGTGCATCTCATTGATGTCTGTCCAATCTAGTTTTGTAGCCCTGTCATATAATTCCACAGTCCCCTCTATATCCCTTATTGTAACTGTCAGCTCAGATATCATTATAATTACTTTTAAAAAGTCTGTCTTTCCCACTAGATTCTTAGCGTGTGTGATGGCAAGAACTATAACTGTTTTAGTCATCATTATGTGTTTTTGGTGAACAGTAGGTACTTCATATCTATTTGATAAATGAATGTATAAATGAATAAATGGAAGAATGAATTCATCTCGAAGCTAACATAAACACCAAGGAGATTACCTGATCCCTCAAATTCAAACTACCTGGATTGTTAATTTCATATTATATAAACCAGACTTAAATTGAATCATGTTTACAGAGAAGATGAAGGAGATAAATAATGGAAGAAACATCCTGAAAGGATATTTTACATTTAATTCTGTTCAAGTAAGTCTAACTAAGTCCCCACACTTCTCCTGGCATATGTCCAGGCACAGTGACAGAGAGGTTTTGACACTTGAATGGTGAGGAGCCACTGAGTGAATATTGATTTTCTTACTTTGTTTACACTGGAAATGCAAATGTTACCATGTTGGGTGCTGAGTTAATGAAACTATGAACCGTTTAAGCAATGTTTGCTGCATAATACATTATATACTGCAGTGTCATCACACAGCCCATTTGGAGACTTGCTTCATTTGACCTATAAACGTTGCCCCCACTGCCCATTAAGAAGTTGGCTAGCAACCAAAGGAATAGATTTTTTTTACTGGAAAACAAAACATGTTTTGTTGTTGCTGTTGTTCATCTGGTATAAAAGAAAATACAAAACACAATAGCTGTGTAGAATGACAACCAGAGAGAGGTGCCAAAGAGCATGAGCGGTCAAGAGGGAAGAAATGGAAAGCCAAGATCCTCTTTCTGCCTTTTTGCCTCCATGAGTCTATAGATAGGAATGAATCAGTAAGGTCATGCTTTAAACTTCTAGATAAGAAAGAAGCTTGTCTGTTTCCTCTGAAAAGGTACTGAATGTGGGTGTCATCAGGCTACCTCCAGGGCATTCCTTATGTGTGGCTGGTATTGTAAGTGAAAGGCCACCTGATGTTATCAGTGTGGGACATCAGCTCAGCTTCCTCAGGCTTGTTTCTAGCAGAAATGTGAGTGACATTGTGGTCCTGGTTAAGCAGGACAAAGAAGGAGTCAAGTCAGACACTGTCGTTCCAGGGGCCCTGTGGGTCTGTGTATTTGGGTGGATGCTGGGAGAAGAAACCCACCAAAAGCAACATGACGTTTGAGTAAAGGGACCAAGAGAAGTTGAGACGTTACCGTTTGGAGTTACAGGGATCGCCACAGGTAGGACAGCGTTCACAGGTGGGTCCAGACGCCCCCGGGTTCGTGCAAACACACTTGCCACAGATGCAGTCCCCTCGCCCGCTGCAGAGCACCCCGTCCTCCGAGACGCAGGAGTCGGTGCTGGTGGTGCAGTTACAGTACTCGCCTGCCCAGCCGTTCCTGCACACGCATTCGCCGCAGTCACAGTCGCCGTTATCTGCAAAACAAACACCCGGTGATGCTTAGGGCAGAAGCCACTTCCGATTCCAGGGCCACCTTTTCTCTTTGCCTTTATTTATTTATTTTAATTTTTTAACGTCTATTTATTTTTGAGAGACAGAGAGGCAGATCTTGAGCCAGAGAGGGGCAGAGAGAGAGAGGGACACACAGAACCTGAAGCAGACTTCAGGCACCAAGCTGTCAGTACAGAGCCTGATGCTGGGCTTGAACTCACGAACCATGAGATCATGACCTGAGCCCAAGTCGGTCACTTAGCCAACTAAGCCACTCAGGCGTCCCTTCTGTTTGCCTTTAAACACCATCAGAAAGACTGAAGAAAAATGAGAAAAAGTGAGTGGGGGTGGGGAGGGGAATCAGTGAACATAGATATATTTTAAGGAACGAATTTTGCTAAGTAGTATGCTGATTGATCTAGTCTCTTAACTGAAGACCGATTTGATTACCTGATGTTATATCAAACAGAACTTATAGCCAGGTGAAATGAGATAATCCAGAAGCCTATAACAGCAACTTGTGGGGGGGTGTGTGATTATGTGTATGTGTATTTAAATTGTTTTTACAATTTGTTCCTTTTAATTAAGGTGCCATAAGATAGAGATGCAGTACAGACCGGGGTAATACCCACTTTACATCATTCAAGCCGAGTTATCATAAAAGCCTCATCTATCAAATAGAGGGAATAAAATCCTACAGCGGTTGTGGTCAGATGAGATAAAGTGTAAATATTCTACTTTGCATTCACCAATTAGATGTCCTGCAGGCATATAGTGAGTGCTCAACAAATTCATTTGTTTAAGAAACTTTAACTGAGCATGTATCATGTGCCATAGATTGCATTAGGCATGAAGACACAAAATTAAATAAGGTCACTAAGCTTATAGGCTCGTGTAGGAGACAGGCAAATAAATACCACCAGTAATAAGCACAATACACTGTGATAAGTGTAATGCATATAGAGGGAGAGTTTCCAAATCGGACCAGAGATTTGGGGGCCTTTCCAGAAGAGGTGATGACTGAGCTGAATTTGGAAAAGACAGGTAGATGGTAGAAGAGGGTTATATGCATTTTAAGCAGACAAAAAAGCATAGGCAAATGACAGAAGTGTATAATCATGGAACCTGCTTTTACTTTTTTAAGTGTTATTTGTTTATTTGAGAGAAACAGAGGCAGTGCAAGTGGGAGAGGGGCAGAGAGAAAGGGGGAGAGAGAGAGAGAGAGAGAGAGAGAGAGAGAGAATCTTAAGCAGGCTCCTTGCTACCAGCCCAGAACCTGATTCAAGGCTTGAACTCATAAAACCATGAGATCATGACCTGAGCTGAAACCAAGAGTTGGACACTTAACCGACTGAGCCATGCAGGTGCCCCTTGTGTGACCTGCATGATACCCATAGTAGTTTCATATCGAAGGAGCCAATGATGCCTAGGAGCTGTGGCAGGAAGGGAGGTTGGAGGGGGTAAGGAGGGGTTGGAAAGATCAATGAAAGTCAGAAATCACATCATGAAAAGCTTTAGGGGCTAAAGTAAGAACTGCTATCCTGACAATTATGGAATTTTAAGTAGAGGAGAGACTTGAACAAATAGATGTGTGTCTGGTAATATCCCGGCAACTGTAGAGAGGATCAGACGAGAGACAGGAAAACCACTTAGGAGGTTGTTGTAACAGCAGGGGCGACAAGACATGAGGCCCTAATGGCGTCAGTGGGGATGGAAAGGAAAGGGGATGCAGTTCCTGGGATGGACTACTCAGCGCATAGTGCACTTGCTGCCAGGGTAGAGGGAGAGGGCAAGAGAGAGGGGATGGGAGCTTCCCCAGGTGACCAGACTGGGCTGCTCAGTGGATGGTACACCCTTTTACTGACCTGGAATGGAAGCTGCCGGCTCATGCTCGCTGCCTTATGCCTGGTGCCTGGCACAGAGTAGAGCTTAATTTTTGAATGGATACATTGTTCTGAAGCAGAGGAAGAAGAGCAGCTTTGGGTGGGGAAGATGATGAGTTCATTTTTGGCTCTTTTGAGTTCAAGGGGCTTTTGGGGCATCCTAGTAGACAGATACATATCTCTGTGTATCTATGTCTATAGAGAGAGGTTTGAGGTTTGGATCCATCAGAGACTGATGGCAATTAAAGCTGTTGTGGATCCAGTCATGTAGGGAAAGCAGACAGTGAAAAAATCTCTGGAGAGCATCAGCATTTAAAATGTGATCAGAAAAAAAGGATCTTCCAGGGAGACTGAGAGGTAGGACATCAGTGAGAGGAAAGCTGCAGATTCCCAGGGCAGAGGCAGCTTGAAGGAGGCAGCACGTGGGAACTTGCGGCAGACATGTCTCATCTACATTATCCTCTAAACTACAATCGCTTTTTGTTTCTTCCTCAGCAAAAGGAGATACTTATTCTCATAATAGGGATAGATTTCTGTATTCAAGCTTATTCCAAAAAATTAATATGATTTATAAACAGTCAAATGAAATGTGAATTTTTTTGAGAATGCCCAAGTATATCACTGCATGTAAGAATTACTTGGCAGAGGGGCACCTGGGTGGCTCAGTTGGTTAAGCATCTGACTCTTGAGTTTGGCTTATGTCATGATCTCATGGTTCATGAGTTCAAGACCCAAATTGAGTTCCTCACTGACTGTGTAGAGTCTGCTTGGGATTTTCTCCCCCCACCCCCTACCCCTCCCCTGTTCTCTCTCTCTCTCTCTCTCTCCTCTCTCTCTCTCCCTCTCTCCCTCTCTCTCTCTCTCTCCCTCTCTCTCTCAAAATAAATAAATAAACTTTACAAAAAGAGAATTATTTAGAAAACTCTTCCAAGAGCTCCTGTCAAAATTTAGAAACCCTTCTCTCTGTGGGCTTTCCAGAACCATCCACCATATCATTGCTAATTGATATTCACAAGCAACCAATTATCTAAAGTACCTGCTCATATAACCACAACCACAAAAACAACAAGACCTTCACAATGGCTTCATGCAGAGGCAAGATGATAAACAAAGATCAAGAAAAAAAATGGTCAGGCTCTTTTCAGAGGGATAGATCTTTCTGGAATGCCACTGACTGATAATTTTAAGTGCATAATGGCAGGAAGTATTTTCTGTAATGCCATTTGCCTATTAGTTTCCCATCTCTTAGAATCAAAATATAAATGACTAATGGAATTTGGGCAAGGGAATAAATCAATGGAGCCCTATATCTGTGAGTACTTACAGATGGATGAAAGAAAGTACATGAAAAAGAACATTGTGGTAATAGCCCTTCAGAGAAGTGGCACAATGCAGAGTGAATTAGTTGTAAAATCAGTGAGTTCTATATGAGAGGTGAAGCTGTAGCACACTCTGGTCTCTGTTATAAACAACAGTAACAACAGAGCCAGGCACAGTATTTATCCCTATGCTAATCTTGATGCCAGGCACATAGTAGGTACTCTATGTTTGTTGAATTTGAATAATACTACTTACTTTTATTATACCTTTTTCAAGAGAAAGTTATTAATAATTTTGTAACATCCTTTGTGATGTTGCTACAAACAAAATAGTTTTCAGTAATAGTAATGATTGAGAATTGTAAAGTATCTTCAAACATGAAGGAAACTGGCATTGGTGAAGTTTTCTTAGTCCAACTGAAGAAATAATTGTGTTTTCTAGACAGAATTTCTCTAGCAATCACTGTATCTGACACAAAGAGAGGTCCTACTGTCAGACCTCTCAAACTACAATGCACAGATCAAGTCCACTCTTTTTAAATAGTTCATTTCCATTTGCATGCATGGTACCAAATGCAGTAGAAGACCATTAGCAAACTGTGTTGCTGAGCACAGTCCAGCAATTTAAACTGCTCTGGAATTCTTTGATCTAAGATTTAAAGAGCAAAATATAGGTAGGGGTAGTATTGCTATAGTTAGGTTACATGTAGAAGTTTTTTGAAAGGTAATTTCAAATGTTTTGGGAACATATTTTATTCAAAGATTTTTATTAGAGATACAATCTTGGAATCTGCAGAGCATGTTCTGTTCAAGACAAGGTGACAGCCTCTGGCTTCAGGCTGTCTCCTGCCTGCATCTTGTGAGAAGAGAACTGATATGGGTTTGGAAACACACCCATTAAATAAGGAAATAGACCTTTGAATGAAAGGAGAGAGAAAAGTGTCTCAATCTGGACAGACCCTAAATTTTTCACTCTCTGGGGAGAAGAAAGAATGTGACCTCAGAGGAACTTGTTGGTAGCAAGAGCCGCTGCAAAGAAATGAAATGGAGGTACGCTTCTAAAGGTATCACATGGTTTTTTTCAAAGAGCTCAGAATTCTTTGAGGCTGCTCTTCTTGGGCCTTTTTTTCCTGAGAATCAGTCTCTTTTATATGTTCCTGACACTGTGGTTTGAAAACATAACTTGCTTAGTTTTCTTTAAAGATAATGGTTTTCTGTTTTGAAAAGCTGCCTGTTCACACACTGTGAAAAGGGGAGACACTGGGAGCTTAAAGTCAGCAGTTAGTTAATATTCCAGTTGTAACACAAATTTATATCATTTTAAAGAATACGAACACATTTGTAATTCATATGCAGATAGAATATACTTAAATATATGGATATATATCCAAATGACTTTATAATCGTTATTCTTAAACTACTCTTAGACTAGTTTTAAACTACAGTGATTTTCCATGTGCAAAGAATTTTTAAAACATACATTTTTCTGTTATTTAAAACTTTTCTTGATCTTAAAAACTTTCCAAGCAATGTTTTTCATTTTTACCCTTTCCATAGCCTTCTTCACATAGAGGCTTATTCATCTTTATTATACCTGGTGCCTAATCTAGTATCTATCACATAAAATGTGTTAGTTAATATGGGTGAGATTAATAAAGGTCCTGAAAGTTCATTTAGTATTTCTGTGTCCCTTGTCTTTGGCAATATGCTCCTTTATTTTTTTTTCAAAGAGTTTTTTTTTTTTTTTTTTTTTTCTAAAGAGTTGGGTAAGGGATGCCTAGGTGGCTCAGTTGTTTAAGTGTCTGATTCTTGATTTTTGCTCAGATCATGATTTCATGGTTCATTTGTGAGCTTGAGCACCTGCACTGGGCTCTGTGCTGATGGCTCAGAGCCTGCTTGGGATTCCCTTTCTCTGCCCCCCCCCCACCTCCACATTCTCCCTCTCATTGTCTCTCTCTCTCATACACACAAAAATAAATACATAATTTTTTTTGAAGAGTTGGGTAAGATATCTGGAAACCTGATCCAGAAAAGTCTGGAAGATAATAGAGTTCAGATTACATGCAGTTTTGTGAAGTCTGGATCATAACCAAAGAACTATTTTTTTGCCTCCTTACTCTTAGGTAAACAACAACAGAGATGTAAATTGAATTGGCAGAGATCTCACCCCAAGAGAATATAAAAGCCAGAAAAAATACAAGAGAAGATTAGTTACTTTAAGTCTAGAGATTAACCCACTCACTTGATCAGCAAATATTTATTGAGTACCAGCTATGCCCAGGCAACTGTGGGAGGTTCAAAGGATGCAAGGCCCCCTTCTTGATACTTGCACAGCCACAGTGTGCAGTGGACTTAGACATAGCCTACCTCCGCAGAGCAGCCCTTTGTGTCTCACGCAGGAGAAGTTGTCACACTGGCAGTAAGGCCCATAGATGTTTCCATAGGGAGACAAATGGCAGATGCACTGGCCACAGTAGCAGTCACCTCTTCCACTGCAGGAAGGGTGATCCGGAGCCTCCTTGCAGGAGTCTGTGCTCAGCGTGTCCTCCCCACATTCGCAGCGAGGACCCATGTGGCCAGGGTTGCAGGCACACACCCCACACTGGAAGGAACCGTTCCCATTGTGGCATTTGGAGCTGTTCACTTCCACTTCCTTCTGACACTCGCAGTTGCATTCCGGACTGATAAGTATTTCTAGGGTATCCCCCAGCCCCACGGGCTTTATGATAATGTGCCTGCTTCTTCTCTCACAGTTTGATATACTCACAGTCACATTGAATGAAGCCTGGAAAAGAAAATGCTAATTATCTACTTTTAGCCACCAAAATGCATGGGAGGAAACAGAGCTGTGTGAGGATCAGCTCTGCCAAAAGCATTTCTTATGAAATTTTTGAAAATTGTTTTTGAAATTCTTGAAAGGAAAAAATCCAACTTCAGTGCAGTAAGGTAACTTCTGACTTACCTGAATATTTTTTTTCAGACAAGCTATTTACCCTCTACTTACTGTATCTCCCACTTTCATGTGAGAGCATTTCTTTTGGTGTGGGAAGAGGACCCCATTGTTACAGATAGCTGTGAATGACAGATTGAGTCCTTCTGTGTCTCCTAACACTTCTAGTTCCACCTCAGACCGGAGTTCCTTTAGTGAGGACATAAAAAGTTAAAGTCACAACCACAAAATACAACCAGAAGAATCCATGAATCATGTTCGTTAAGCTACCAATGAATAAAATTAAATTGAGTCTAAAAGAAATTCACATACCATCAATCAAACAAAGCTAGCAAGATACACACACATGCGCGCACACACACACACACGAATGCACGCATACACGCACAGACACACATATACATGTCATGTTTTATTGAATCTAAGATGGCATCAATTATAAAACACACCATTATTTTATGACAATGACATTATGACAAAATACCTCAAGATCACTCTGTGCAACATCTGAATCAATTCTATCAGTCTATCGTTGCTTTGAAAATTATTGTATACTTTCTGAAGGATTTGGCAAATTCTCCGTCTCTCAGTTGCATTGCTTGGCATACAAAAGGCTTTTTAATTTTTTTGCTTGCATTTCAGTAACAAAATATAGCAGCTTCCTTTACTTGTAAGTATCATCATTTCTTAGGTCCCATAAAGCAGCTGGTTGTTACTTTGCGAGGAATACAGAATTATAATCATTCCTTCAACAACGAATGTTTGCTTCACTGATAGCAAATTTATACCCTGCTGCTCTGTTTTGGTACATTTCTGCATATACAATACCTTTTCATTTCAATATCAAATCATAGTGCACACGTTTTGAAAGTATTTTAAAGTGGCAATTATATTCAACACCTGTAGTACCAATGGTGTCCTTAATGAATTGAGGTGACAACTACATATACGGTTATGGCCGGTTTCATACATTTGCAGTTGACAGCATTTGTAAGACACCATTAATCATAAAACACTTCCCAATTTTAGAGATGTTAAAATGTGCAAGAAACTACTCCTTAAAATCAATATCGAGATTTATCAAGTACCTATTGTATCTTACTGTAGAGTCAGGTCTGGGGGATAAATGTAAGATGGGATTTCTGCCCTCAACATGATTATCATTTTACTGGAAAAACCAGAGGGAACCAAGTAAAGCAGTTAATGTACAAGTCAATAGATGTACCGTTAAATTAAAAAAAAAATTGTGCAATACAGACATGGGTTTGGGACAATTCAGAAAAGAGAATGGTCAGTGAAGGCTGGAAGATTTAGAAGTCCTTAATGGCTATGTTGGATGTAGATGTGTGGAGAAGATGACACTGGCATTTCAGATGAGGGGACCAGAAAAGAGGAAGTTCAGTGCCAGGAGGGGTATAGAATGAGGACAAGTGGGGCTCAAACCAAGCCCCAACTCCTACTGTCCTGGGAGACACCAGACAGCAGAGAGCCTTGAGGTTTGGAGAGATGAGTTAAGACCCGTGGGAAACATTCCCTATAGCTTTGAAGCAGGGGCCCAATCTACTAAAAATATAGCTGCAGGGAAGTTGTCTAGAAGGTGGGTGCAGGACAGACTCATGGTCTATCGGACTTACGGGGGAAGGGGAGTAAGACTGGAGTCGAGAAAGCTGGGATGTTGTTGCATTCACCCCAGCCTGAGGCATTAGGATCAGGAACCCTGAGGTGGTTGGTATATATGATGAAGTAGATGGAAGAAAGAAACACTAGATATGAAGCATATAGGTTATGGCAGAGGGAGATAAAGTCAAGGTTTTCCAAGGGGAAGACTATCAGAGAAGGAGAAGAAAACTATTTGTTATAGGGAAAGCTAGTGTTATTATGTAGACTTTCTCTGTTCCTCTTTCTTTTGCAAAATAAAAAGTCTGTATTTGGAGGACAAAACAAAACTTTTAAAAATAAAAAAAAGAATAAAAATAAGTTGTAAAACATTATGAATTAAGTAATATTTCAATTCATCTAAGAAGACTTGAGTACCTATACTCTGGATTTTAAAAACATATTCAGCTTTAAGTTTTCCTTAAGTATAATTTTGCCAACTGCATAGTAAGACAACCCTGCTTTCCTCCAAATTCTAAGCTGCTGACTATAACTTCTCAGTCATTCTTCTTCCTTGCTTTTATATTCGCCCCATATCATCACTCCTTCGGTAAATGGACATAAGGACGACTTTTCAGAATATGGTCTTCATCAGAGATTAAAGTGTCATTTCTCAGTCTTAAAGATTATTTTTCTTTTTAAAATTTTTTTCAAATGTTTATTTTTGACAGAGAGAGAGAGAGAGACACAGAGTGTGAGTTGGGGAGGGGCAGAGAGAAAGGGAGACACAGAATCTGAAACAGGCTCCAGTCTCTGAGTTGTCAGTACAGAGCCTGACATGGGGCTTGAACTCACACACTGTGAGATTATGACTGAGCCGAAGTCAGACCCTTAACTGACTGAGCCACACAGGCACTCCTTAAAGATTATTTCTATCATGTTGTAAGATTTCACATTCTGCCAATTAGCATTAATATTTACTCTTTTTATCTGTTTCATTTCAAATAGTTATATTATAACTTTTTTCATTCAGAAAATATTTATTGAATGTCCAATATGTGCTAGACACTGTTCTAGGTACTCCGGAGGCAAAACCCACTAAAATAGCTGACCTTTTGTAGTCGATATTCAGAAAGGAAACAACATAAGAAAATGACGTAGCATGCTAGAAGGTGATAGATGCTATAGAAAAAAGTTAGGGTGGGATAATGAAGATTAAGAGAGTGTCTACAATTCTTAAAAATGTAGTTATAGTAGGATTCAGTAAGAAGGTGACATTTCAAGGAAGTGAGGAGTTAAATAGCATGTAGGCATCTGTCAGAAGAGTGTTCCAGGAACAGGGTACAGCCAGTGCAAAGGCCCTGAGCACGAGCATGTCTGGCTTGCTCTGGAAACAGAACAGCGAGGAGGCCAGATTTGCTGTATTGGAGCAGAGACAGGTGGAGTAATAGGAGATGAAGTCACACAGGTAAATCAGATCTGGTGGGGTCCCAGTAGGCGGTTTTAAAGAATTTGGCATTTACTCTATGTAAAATGAGGAAATAATTAGTGTTATCTATAGAAGAGTGATATGACCTGACTTAACATTTTAAAGGAAAATTCAGGTTGTTTTTTTTTTTTTTCCTTGAAAACAGAATGTAGGAAACCAAGGCTAGAAATGAGAAATGGCATTTAGGAGGCTTTGCAGCCATTCAGGTGAGTGAAGATGGTGACTCTGACAAGGATGAGGGCAGTGGAGCCAGCGTCTGGATCAAATTCTAAATAATTTTGAAGATAGAGCCAGCAAAGCTTTTTAGCCCTAGCAACATGAAGGATGGAATTACCATCAGTTGAGAAAGAGAAAGCTGTTGGTGAAGTGTGTTTAGGAGAGTCCAGGTTACCCTCCTGAACTGCCAACTAATGTATCAACCGACTCGTGGACATCTCCACTTGGATGTCTCCTAGACAACTATAGCATAGTTGCTGGGTGGCAATGAGGGCCTGCTTCAAGTATATGACCATGAATTTAAAGTGGGACTGGTTAGCATGATTGTATGTTTTTCCCTTTCCCGTTCAGTTGTGTAGGGTGAATGGACAGTTGGATTTAACTAGGACTAAGCGACTTTAGTGAAGCTGTAAGGGGTGGGGGAGCTGAGGGTACGTGTACAGAGTGATCATGATGGTGGAATTCAAGCTGGGGGCCCAAGCAAAAGAGAACATCAAGGAGATGAGCAACTACAAAGACAGGGTAGGGTTGCTTGAATTAAAGAGAGAGAGAGAGAGAGAGAGGGAGAGAAGGTAGGGTTAATTAATTGGAGATCTTGATGGGTTGGAAAAAAGACTACAGGAACTTGCAGGAGTGAGCCAAAAAGCTTGGAAGTGGTGAGCAGGGTATGGGTTGCATGAAGCTGAGATTATAGAAAGTCTATTGGCAATGACAAGCTTTAAGGTATGACAAGAGAGGAGGACAAGATCATTTTAAAAGCAGAGTTCAAGAAATGGAGGCCAGGATACCAGAAGGAATATATGTATACTTAGACTGAAATCATTAAGAGTTAAGGCAAGAGTAATGTTAGAGACAGTGGCACAGTGAGTCAGGGGCAAAAGAGGTGAGGGACATGACCTGCAAGTCTGTAGATTTGAAATTAGGAGTAGTGGGTGACATAATCTGACCAAAACAAGGGAAATCTTAGCATTGATATAATTGGAATACCACATTGAAGAATTGACCAGGAATATTTTAATGTGAATTTCTTAAAGAAAAGATATAAATATTTATTTGTATATTTTCATCCTATCATTCATTTACTGAGCATTTATTATGAACCAGGCAAAACAAAACAAACCAAATCATTTGCCTTCTGGAGCCTAAATAGAAAAACTTACCCTTGGGAGAGCTGATATTTCAGTAGCTTCTATCAGGTGGTTAAGGAAGGCAGAAAATAAGTGAATGATGGTCAGATGAATACACATCTGGTGTTTAAGGGCTTTCGTGTCACTATGGCACTGTGAAATACTGAGCTGCAGTTTGTAGTCACTCGTTATAAACTCAAATTGTGTAGCTCTGCCCCACTAGAAGTTAGTCAGAAGTGTTTTATCTTTTCTCTCAGTCTATCCTCTTTCCTTTCTCTCTTTTTATAGACTGGAAAGAAATCCACTCAATGGATCCTCATATTTTAAAGTCCTTGTCGAATACATTAAAAATAACAGACTAGAAAAATAATTTGAACTAGTGCCAAAATTTATTGCATACGTCATTCAGTGAGTCATGAAGTTATAATAACAACTCCAGAGCAAGATTCTATAGTATGAGAATAATAGACACTTCTTTATATTTTTGAGACAGTAAAATGAGATTCACTTCAAATGTTTGATGCCTTGATTTAACCACCCTGTAAGTGATGTGAGCGACTTGGGACTACAAAGTGATAAAACCCCTGACAGAGCACAGAAGGGGCTGGTCAAATAAGAGGGAGAAATGTTTTGACATTTATAGTTTTCTCATTTGCTTAGTTCCTTTGAAGATGTTAGTGGCCAATGCTTTTGAGAAAATGGAGTGTGTTCTAATGCATGGAGGAAGGCTATGTGATTTTATCAGATTCTACACATTAAAACTTTAATTGCTGCAGAAGAGGGAGGAAGGTTTTCATAGTATTTTGTTGACAAGCTTTCCCATCTGGAAGAATTTCAAGCCTGAGCTAATGTGGTAGTTAATTTTTGATGTGAGCTAGGAAAACTGAAGTTTCTGAGGATAAAAGTGAAAAAAACAAAAAGCATCTCATTCTATAATTTTGATGGACACATCTGTTGCGCTGACACAGGGCTCAATCCCACGACCCTGGGATCATGACCTGAGTCGAAATCAAGAGTCAGACGCTCAGCTGATTGAGCCACCCAAGTGCTCCATCATTTCTGTCCTAATTTAAAGCTTCATTTTCGTGTGTGTGTGTGTGTGTGTGTGTGCACATGCATATGTATGTTCTTTTCTATGGAAGTGAAGGCAAAAATGGGGAATGATATTTAGGAACCAAAATAAAAAAGGGCTGGTAACTGGCCATCTACTATTGATTAATTGAATTATGAAATGGGGACAAAGCAAGAGAACATAGAAATCCCATAGCTATGTATTTTATTTAAGAGAGGAGTGCTGTCCTTAGGTACTATTTTCCAAAGTCCAGGCAAAAAAAGAAAATTATGTCTCTCTCTTTCTCTGTGTGTGTGTGTGTGTGTGTATATATATATATATATATATATATATATGTCTACATATGTCTATATACATATATACATATACGTATATATATCTGTCTATATCTCTCTACATATATATCCATAAAAATGAAGAATTTCCTGGTTCTCAAAAGGGAAGAATCGATGAAGTGGTGTTCCTGATATGCTTTTGTGTCTTTTTTCTTTTCCTTGAGTTATGAGGTGGTCTCATTAAGCCTGTGGAGTTAGTTCTCCACATAGTCCTATTACTCATTGGTATTTCAGATTAATTTTTTTTCAGGTAGAGAAAAGGGGAGCTTAATTATAGGGCTCACTGACTCTTTTCAATAGAATTAAAATTTTGCAAGTGACAGTGCTGCTATTGGTTATTATTATAAAAATAACCTTAACTTTATGATCAGGTTATGATTTCTCTACCTTCTGCCTCACCTTTCAGGAAGAATATCTGCAAATAAGGTGAACAACATTTATATTTTGGCTGCACATTAACACAGAGAGATTTTCTTTGGATAAGTACTCTCTCTACTAACAAATCAGAATGCACTTAACTGCCTAAAACACATGAGTTTTTAAATACCAAAACAGAAATTTAAAAAAAGGAAAGGAAAAAAAGCCAACAGTAAAATATCATACTTCATAAGCCGAGATGATCAACTGGAGAATATTTCCAGAGTCCTTCTGAAGTAGCCCTACTGTAGCTCCAGGAATGAGTTTTGCATAATTCTGTAAACAAAAAAGAATAAGTCAGTCTGCTCACGGTGATCAAGAAACACTAACTGTGGGTTTTAGCCTGCTGGTTGAGATCACCTCTATTTAACTGGCTGGGGGAAACAGGATCCTGATAATAAATGAGTGTTTCTCCTGAAACTGTAGCCCTGCCTGGTTCTGCTTCCTGCATACAAGTGGGAACTAAACTGGCCAGAGGTGCCATTGGGGATATCAAGTGTCTGAGGTTGCCTTCATCTAAAGCTGTGATTTATGTCACAACAGGGGTCAATCTCAAATAATAATACCATCTTCCATTTGCGGAACATCCTTTTTCCAAAATATTATGAGCATACAACCCAGAGTTATCTTCTCTTTTTGTAATGATATGGAAACGTAGGTTCCACCCTGGCTCCTCTCTGCCATCAGGTCACTCTGCAAGCCATTCAGCCCGGGGTCTTAATTGTCAATCGCTTGGTGGAGAAAAGGAGTAAGTTATGTGGATGCTTGCTGTTAACCCCCTTTCCTAGTGATAAATAACATCATGTCACCATGATGCTGGGGTTGATTGGAACTGAATTCCCCCTCAACATGATTGAGTCAGTCAGAACCTATCTCTAAACCATCTGCATTCTCCACTTACATCCTTCTCTGAGATGTCATTCCCACCTGAGGAGAACTCACAACATTAGTTTATTCACACTGGAAGTATCGAGCATGACCAGGGAAATGCATTGCAAAGAAGGGAATTTTCCAGACCGCTGAAAATTACCCATCCCTTAAGTTTTGTGTTTTAATCCCTATTTTCAAATGTAAAGTTTTCTAAAGTGTATAGTGTACATATCTGTCTTCCTAATAAAGGTTCCCAAACATACTTGGACTTTTTCCTTAAAGAAACAGTCATACTTATCAATATAATCAAAGACTTCTAAAATCATGGATAGATCACACTCATGCCAAGTGGACCCCAACTGCTCTGATTTTTGCTTCTTTTATCTATTTTTAAATAGTTTCTGTCTTCTCCTTGTTAAGCAGTAAGGTATCACTCACCTACCACTTTTCTCATTTATTCATTTACTGTTGCATTCAACAACAGCTATTAAGCAGGCTCAATATGATGTGTGACATCAGGAAGACACAATCACTCTTTGTCAGCTGTGGTCTTCTGAGTTGCTGTGTGTTGTGAAATCAGATGACTGAATTTATTAAAATTGTACATAGAAAGAGAAAGTAAGTTTTGACTGAAGGATTTAGGGCACCTCTTCTCATTCAAACATAATGATATTCTGTCCTATTCCAAAGAAGATTTAAGTAGCTTAGAAAATGTACAAAAGTAAGTCAAATTAATAATAATTACTGATTATAATCGTGATATTAAATCAATAGATCAGGTTGAGGAGAGCCAAGGGGAGGAACAAGTGAAGCCAGGGCGACTTCACAACACCAACAAGTTCTAGGATGTACTTACTAGAGGTGGGTACCTGGGTTAGGTCCAAGATTTCTGCACCTCCAGGATGGAAAGTGTGTGCTGCTTTTAGTTAGTGGGGTTTGTAATATTCCACTTATTTCTGTGTTTCTGATTGTGGTTAAGTTTGAGGTTGATGGAAATCTGAATTCTTAAAAGTAGTGGTTGTCACTCTACCTTGACCTTGAGTTTTATTATTGAAGGGACCATGGACAGTAAACCAGGGAGGAACATTCCTCCTATTACCAAGTGCCCCACATTACTGCCAGTTGAAGGTGGGCCCCACTCTGTTTCCCTGAGTCAGGTAGAACTTGTCAAATATGAGAAAGGCACCGGTTCATTGACTTACCTTTTCAAATAAACACATGTCAAAAGGGCCGTGAAGCATGAGACCTGTGGTTAACAGCGAATACCTAAATAGGATCTTGAATTTCACTCAAGTGGAGCTGGAATGTGTGTAAATTTGACTTGTCCCAAAAGACAAGGCAAAGGAAAACTTTAAAGGTTTACAAAGAAAGGTTTAGATCTTTTCAAAAAAGAATTTCAAGGCTCTTAGCTTTGCATAAAACTGCTAGCCTTGAAAAATGTCCTGGTTTTTCCAAGGCCAAGGTATAAAGGGTACTTTCCACAAGCACTAGTTCAAGTGGCCTCTAGATTTGGGGTTAATTCTTGGTTAACACAGCCAAATCCATCCACTTCCCAAAGCATAATTATGATCCTGCATGTGATATGTCGTTTGGGGTTTGGCTATTAGGACAAGTGGTTTAACATTAATTGCATTTGCTGATTGCTACCAGAGTGAGGGTATAAAGAAGTTGGCAGCGAGTAGTGGTACCCTGTGATAACACTGACAATTGTGTATAGGAAAACTATTAATTAATTTCTGGATGCTGATTCCTCCCAAAAGCATTACAAATAATTAACTAAAAACATGGGCAATTTGGTTTCCTGATCTAATACTGTAAAAAATTATACTTTAAATCTTGTAGTATTATGATTACTATAAATATCATGTGTCAAATGCCTTTCTTTCATCAAAGCCCTAAAGTACTATTATAAATTGTTCTGATTAAACATGTTTAATGTTAGAAAAAGGATGATTTTGCATGCCTGGATGTGATAAATTATAGCGCTGTGACTATAAAAGATAACTGTTGGATATTAGAAATGGTGAACTCTAAAAACACGATGTTTCATGAGCTAATTAGAAATGCCAACTCCTTGGGCTTGAATTTTTTGGGCTTGAGTTCCCTGTTATCTGCCCATGGATTATCCTAATTATTGACTTTCTCCCTCTCCTGCCACCATGCCACCCAGGAGTTCCTGAGGTTGCTTTTCTCATTCATGTTTGCAAAGTTGGCTTTTTCTGATTGCCTTGGTTTTCTTAATTTCCTTCATCAAACCCTATTTATTTGCTCACTGTGCCCCCATCTCAACAAAGATTTCTTATGCACCAAGAACCATAAAATACCCAGGAATAAACTTAACCAAAGATGTAAAAGATCGGTATGCTAAAAACTTTAGAAAACATGAAGAAGACACAAAGAAATGGAAAAACATTCCATGCTCATGGATTGGAAGAATAAATATTGTTAAAATGTCAATACTACCCCCAAGCAATCTACACCTTCAATGCAGTCCTAATCAAAATTGCACCGGCATTCTTTTCAAAGCTAGAACAAACTATCCTAAAATTTGTATGGAACCACAAAAGACCCCAAATAGCCAAAGTAATATTGAAGAAGAAAACCAAAGTGGGAGTCATCACAATCTCAGACTTTAGCCTCTACTACAAAGCAGTACTCATCAAGACAGTATGGTATTGGCACCAAAAAAAAAAGACACATAGGCCTATGTAATAGAATAGAGAATCCAGAATTGACCCACAAATGTATAACCAACTAATCTTTGACAAAGTGGGAAAGAGTATCCAATGAAAAAAAGTCTTTTTAGCAAATGGTGCTGGGAGAACTGGACAGCAACATGCAGGAGAATGAAACTAGACCATTTTCTCACACCATACACAAAAATAAACTCAAAATGGATGAAAGATCTAAATGAGAGACAGGAAACCATCAAAACCCTAGAGAAGAAACCAGGCAACAACATCTTTGACCTCAGCTGCAGCAATTTCTTGCTCAACACATCTCCAAAGTCAAGGGAATTAAAAACAAAAATGAACAATTGGGATCTCATCAAGATAGAAAGCTTCTGCACTGCAAAGGAAACAATCAACAAAACTAAAAGGCAACTGACAGAATGGGAAAAGATATTTGCAAATGACATTTTGGATAAAGGGTTAGTATCCAAATTCTATTAAGAACCTACCAAATTCAACACCCAAAAAAACTAATAATCCAGTGAAGAAATGGGCAGAAGATATGAATAGACACTTTTCCAAAGAAGACATCCAGATGGCCAACAGACACATGAAAAGATACTCAACATCACTTATCTTCAGGGAAATATAGATCAAAACCATGCTGACATATGACCTCACATTGGTCAGAGTGGCTGAAATGAACAAGTGAGGAAACTACAGATGCTGGTGAGGATGTGGAGTAACAGGAACCCTCTTGCACTGTTTGTGGGAATGCAAACTGCTGGGAATGCAGCCACTCTGGGAAACAGTGTGGAGGTTCCTCAAAAAATTAAAAATAGAATTACCCTACAATCCAGCAATAGCACTACTAGAAATGTATCCAAGGCATACAGGAGTGCTGATTCATAGGGACACATGTACCCCAATGTGTTATAGCAGCACAACAATAGCCACATTATGGAAAGAGCCTAAATGTCCATCAACAGATGAATGGATAAAGAAGATGTGGTTTATATATACAAAGGAATACTACTTGGCAATGAGAAAGAATGAAATCGTGTCATTTGCAGCAACATGGATGGAACTGGAAGGTGTTATGCTGAGTGAAATAAGTCAGTCAGAAGGAGACAGATATCATATGTTTTCACTCATAAGTAGCTCTTGAGAAATTTAACAGAAGACCATGGGGAATAGAAGGGGGGACAATTGTTACAAATGGAGAAGGAGGGGGCGCCTGGGTGGCTTAGTGGGTTAAGCGTCCGACTTTCGCTTAGGTCATGATCTCGCAGTTCGTGGGTTTGAGCCCCACGTCGGGCTCTGTGCTGACTGCCAGCTCAGAGCCTGGAGCCTGTTTCAGTCTGTGACTCCCTCTCTCTCTGACCCTCCCCTGTTCACGCTGTCTCTCTCTCTCTCTCCTAGAAATAAATAAAACATTAAAAAAAAAAATTAAAAAAAAAAACAAATGGAGAAGGAGGGAGGCAAACCATAAGAGACTCTTAAATACAGAGAACAAACTGAGGGTGGATGAGGTGGGGGGAGAGGGGAAAATGGGTGATGGGCATTTAGGAGGGCACTTGTTGGGATGACCACTGGGTGTTATATGTTAACGATGAGCCATGGGAATCTACACCAAAGCCAAGAGCATACTTTATACACTGTATGTTGGCCAATTCGACAATAACTTTATTTTCTAAAAAAGATTTCTTATTTTTCCAACAGTCTGCATGTGCT